CCCCCCTTCAGATCTCGTAGAGAAGGGCCCCCCCTTCAGATCTCGTAGAGAAGGGCCCCCCTTCAGATCTCGTAGAGAAGGGCATCCCCTTCAGATCTCGTAGAGAAGGGCCCCCCCTCCGATGAACCAGCTGGGGAATGAAAGCTTAAGGGAACTTTCAGTTTAAAGCTCTCCTCCCTTCACAGCGGGGCCAGCTCAGCACTGCAAGGGTTGTCCGCTCGTCAATGTCCCGGGGGATCCTTCAAGTCAGGAAGTGAAGAAACAATCATTGGAAGGAAAATGAAAACTGCCCTCAATGTCCTCACATATAATGTGGTCTATGGACTCTGCAGTAAATGTGATGACATCAGCGGGCCTCCGATGGCCCAGTAGGAGCGGGGATCAGGTAAGAAAAACTGCTGTAAAGAATCCTCCTAGACATTGATGGGCAGTTTCGCCGCTCAGGGGCAGCACTCTGCAGCCCATCCCAGGTAAAATAACCCAAAAGCTGTGCAAAGGGCTTACCGTTCCTTTTTTCTTTAGAAAGCAGCCACAGCCTGTCCCCGGGCCAGCATGCTGCAGAGAAGGGCCCGTGCTCTCTGCGTGGAAGCAGTGGTCTTTCTGCAGAGGTCTGACACACTGCTGCTAGGTCACAGCTGGAATTCTCCAATCAGTAAAGCTTATGCTCCCTGCTGACTGGAGAGCTCTGGCTGTGACTTATCAAGGGGCATGCCAGACCTCTGCAGAGAGACCGCTGCTTCTGGGGAGTGAAGGGTGCTGGCAGGGGACAGGCTTCTCTACTGAATGAAATCTTTGCACATCTTTTGTGTTATTGCCCCCAGAATGGGTTTAGCTGAATTGAACTGAATGTCCAAAACCCTAACCCTAAGGTGACACATTGTTGAACAGGAAGTTCTGGGAGCACGGTGACGGCTTTTACTGGCAATCTGAAAATGGAAAAACTGCCAGCCAGGTATCACTTTACCTCCGTATGTTACCTATCGGAACCCCTCCGCCGCTAACACGCCACATGCCCCCGCTCCACAGGTCCTAACACAGAAAGTGCTCAGGTATTTCCAAGACACAATCCTTCTACAAGGCTGCACAAGCAACATCCAAGGGTGACGAGACCACATGTGACTCCTGAGCCACTGGATGTGTGTTCTGCCCTACATATCACAAGGCTGATGGAGGGGGGTTAGGTGGGGGGCAGTATGAGGGACCCTCTTCCTATATTGATGGTAACAAGGCTGATGGAGGGGGGTTAAGGGGGGGCAGTATGAGGGACCCTCTTCCTATATTGATGGTAACAAGGCTGATGGAGGGGGGTTAGGTGGGGGGCAGTATGAGGAACCCTCTTCCTATATTGATGGTAACAAGGTTGATGGAGGGGGGTTAGGTGGGGGCAGTATGAGGAACCCTCTTCCTATATTGATGGTAACAAGGCTGATGGAGGGGGGTTAGGTGGGGGCAGTATGAGGAACCCTCTTCAGTCTACACAATTCTCAGGTGTTTAGGAAGGGCCAGAAATTGTCCCTATTACAGAGGTGACCTGCACATTACACGCCACACATGGTCCATACAGACACAAACAGGCCGGCTGGGGATGATCGGTGGTCAGCGAGGTTGAAGGGTCAGGCGCTCCCTACAATTCGGTATAAATGGCGGATGAGGCCGGGGGGGGGAGGGTGATGCAACATAAACTACTGAAGCCATAAATGACTTTCTGACATTGAGTAAATCCCGTCTACACAATACCAAAGTCCACAACTCAATGACACTGTAACCGAAGAATGTGATGGGCAGCACACGGCCAGAAAATATTTTATTTGTATTTATTTTGGGGCACCAGGTGCTCCCCGCTCATCAGTTCAGATACCTGAGGTAACAAAGACATATTTATTTTTTTATGTAGTCATTAAATTTTATTTTACTTATATATAATATATTAATGCATGACAGTGCAGCGTCATGTTGTACTTGTGAAAAGCCGCTGAGGGTTGTGTCCTGTCGTGTCTGCGTGTCCGGTCACAATGCACGGAACGGTGACCGGAACGCACTCAATTGGTGCAACTCTCCTTGCATGTCCGGGGGCCCTGTGTGGAGCCGTGGGGCCCGATCTCCTGAGCCTTCCACGCTGTCCGAGTACACTTTCATGGAGTACAGAAATGACTGTAGAGACTAAACATGAATGCCGATACTCGGAGACACGGTGCTGAGTGGTGGAGACGCCTAATGAGTTCCTGTAGCATCTGATGACGCCTAGTGATCAGTAAAGTGTCAGTGAGTGTTCACACTCGTTTCCTGTTCTCTGTAGTGGGCACGTGGTGAGCGCTTAGAAAATGGCGCACACCGCGAAGGACGGCCATGACTATTATGTATTGTTCGCATTCACCTGATTAAAACTTTTGTCCTGTAACGAGCAGCGGGCTGAGCCAGAACTGGAGGGGCCCAAAGACACCAGACGGCGCTGGGAAGAGATTGTCCAACTGCCAAAAGACAAACCCATCTATCCACATACCCGAGGAGTGCCACGGCCCCTCACAGCACAATGACTTGTCATTAATAAGGGATCAATAGTCAATCAGCTAAAACTTTCCGACCTGCCTGAGAGAACTGCCATCTAAACCCGTGCGCATCCCACGCGTGGCGTCTCGGGTCTATGGGCACCTTCAGAGCCGTGGCCAGCGTAGGTGGCGGATGGTCCGCGGACACCCCGCCAGGCGGTAATGACATTTCCAGATTTCTGAATGTTTTTGTCTGAAAAGTGTTTCCGTGTTTTTCTTCAGAAATATCATACGAGGGGAGATGGAGATCAGGCTGTAGAGATCGGGGCAGACAATTCTCATTGATGAAACCCATAAAGAAGGGGGCTGACTATGGCCAAACACTAGCCAATCAACTCACTGGAAAGAGGTGACATCTGCTTCATGCTGGGTGATGTCACCAGCTCCTGATGAATTGATTGGCTGTAGCAGCAACAACATGGCCGCCTCCCCCAATATACATATCATGGGGTTCCAGGTGGCCGGCCCAATGCTCTCTGGAGTCAGAGCTCAGAAATGTCATTATCTTCCTACAGCCATCAGTCAGGGTGAAGCCTGCGGAGCAAGACGACGCCTATAGCCCTCCTCCTCCGGCCGAAACCGAGAGGAGAAGAGATAGAATATCTGTCAGGTCTTTCCTGCTGCCCGTGTCCCCGGAGATTTCCCTCCACTTCCTGTGCCGGTGACACGGACAGCTATATAGACCCGAGAGTCTCTGACCCTTCTCCGCGTCGTCCAGGAGTTGGTCTGGAACCTGATTGGTGGCTCTGGGAGAATGACAGCCGGTCTTAGTCCTGACACATACGGTATGAGGGTGGTCCGGTGTCTGTGATTGGGAAATGCTGGATGTCCATCCCACAACCAATCTTACAGACATCCGTGGACTCACTGCCTCCTGGAAGTGGTGTCACCTCCGTCCCCCCAATTCACATCCAGGAAAATGTGTGGGAAGGAGAGCCGCCATGTTTTCTGTCCATTCCTGTCCGTGCCGTTCCTGGACTGTTAGAAGAGAAATATGCAATATGTGTCACGCTGGTCGTCTCTCCTTCGCTCAGACTTGTCCGTCTCGCTACCGAAAGAAGTGACCTGCTCCGTTTTATATGATTCTTTCCTCTATCTTTGTGGAGAATGGAAACCATGTCCTTGTAATGTTTCATTATTGCTATTAAATTGATA